CACAAAACTCTCACACCCAGCACCTAAAAAATAAAATTTTTTTATTTAAAAAGTAAAAAAAAAAAAAAAGAAAAAAAAAAAAAAAAAAAAAAAAAAAAAAAAAAAAGAAAGAAACAATGATGCTTGACTGAATGATAAATTCACTATTTAAAATTTTCTTTGACTTAAATGGACACATTTTTTGGACCTTATTTATCTTAATGACATGTTTTAGATCGATTAAAAATCACTTCTGCAGATTAAAATATAATTCCCGACACACATCTTGGCACATTGATTGAGACGCTTGAGAACGCCAAAAGTCATGAAGGTTCATATTCAGGTTTTAATTTAAAGAATCGATGGTTATAACTTGATCATGCAGTTTAAAATAATAAAAGAATATTTGTTTCCTATATAATACGTAGTATGATTTAACGTTTACCTTAACTGTTTAAATACAAATTTCGATTAAATTTCTTTGATTTCATTCAAATTTTTGTTATTTGATTTTTAAATTCACGATTTAACCGAACAACTTACTATTCCTACCTATAGTGCGTAGTGAATACCATAAAGTTTTATTTCACACCAACTGCAGTGTAACACATTGGCTATCATTTCAAATTTTTATTGGCTTTATAACATTGCACAAACATTGCATAGATGTGCATTTACTTTATCTGGACATAATGAACCCTCGCTACGCTTCGGACAATTTCTACGATCAATGTTCCGGAACATAAATGCCCTACGAGTCTTTCAAAATTTTGTTAAAACGATTAGAACACTAATAGTAATCTGCTTTAATTACATAATACATATTACAAATCCTTTGTTACTCATAGGAAATTATTGTTATGTAGGTACGTATAGATAGTATAGCTTTGTAAGGAGATACGTATTCTGTTCTTCATCAAGAGCATTATCAAAATTCATTCATTATTAGATCTAGATTATCATGATCATTGACTTCACTTCTTAAAAATATTAATGGGTACGTGGCGAAAATATATTAGGAAATCGAAATGTGATAGTAATCTTCATTAACTTCTGCATACGTAATAGGTGATCATTGATTATCATAGTAATTTGAAAAGAATAAGTCTGCAGCTAGAGATGTGTTAGGTTTAGTCACATATTTTACTTATTACGTATTTCTACGTAGTCATTTCTACTAAATATTAACGTAATAAAGTAATAATAAGCAAAAGGTTGTGATACATGAAAACGCAATCTAAATGAGTAGATAATTGAGGTTAAAATCTATACATTCGTAATCGTAATTAATAAGAATCATTTATCATAATGATAATATGTGTGTATAGGTACGTACGTACGTACGTACTAAGATAAACTAGTTACTATTATCTTGCCCGTCTCCTGCAGCTTACGGAATTTAGTATTCCATGCAGTTTGTTTGAAACTCTTCACTTTTTATGGGATGAGGCTTAAATCTACCTTATAACGCCCTAAATTTAACTTTAAATCAGTCATAATCCTGATTTTAATAACTTCACTTTGAATATCCCTAAGGCAATTGAGAAATAGTTTAGTAACAGCCTGAATTTTGTGTTTCTAAACTTTATCTTTTAAGTTGAGTCAGAAATCTTTCAAAAAGGGATGCTATATTTAGAAAGTACTATTAATCACTGATCATAATAAAGTACGTACTGTACGTATGAATTAAATGCAAAAACACAGGAAAACATTCTTCAAAAATGGAATCAATGGATATTCTTGTAATACAAAGTTATTAAGTAATTCAGATATGTCGGCTTGGAGATTTGTATGAATCAAAACACAATAATGGCTTGATGTTCAATCTATTGAAATTACAATATTTATTTATTTATTTATGTATTTATTTGTTTTATTTATATATAGATATTTTTTTTAAATTTTGATAATTATATAAACTTTTAGACTTAATTTATATTAGTACAAATTCATTTTAACAAATATTTAAAACGTAAATTATTTCTTCATAAACAAAGTATCACTTTGAGAACAATTCTTTATCCTTGCACAATGTTCATTTTTTTATTTTTGCATCTTGTTACTTTTTTTTTACTATTTTTTAGTATCGCTAAAGCCAACAATGTCTCTGATGAAAACAAAATTAATCGGTTTTCTAAACTAGCTCTTCTTATTATACCAGTTTATATATCTTTTACACAAGTTGGATGGATAGTTGTTATATTAGTATTCGTTTTTAGCAAACGAAAAGATGTTGGAGTAAAATTGGTAGAAGAGAAGAATAGGTGTGATGATATACATCCTAAAACTTCTTTAACCAGTAATGCTGTACCAATTGCGGATTCACTGGCAAAACCAACAACTTCGAACATTACAAACATCAAACATAATGACACACCTAATCCAGAAGTTATTTCTAATTTTTTTAACACGTTGAAAATGAAAAAGGTTACCAATATTTGTGGTGCATAATTAAGTAAATATTGATGTATACTATCAAAGTCACATTTGAGTATATAAAACTAATATATTTTGCAAAAGTTATTTATCGTTATAATAAAAATATATCAAATATGGGTCAATAGAAAAAGGGTTTAGAAATATTCTAACAAAAATCAAGATTTTTACAAGATTGCACGTATTGCCAGGATTGTATGTATTGCTCCTTTTTATATTACATAAACTTATATTTAATGTTACCGAAAATAATTTGCTTTATAAATTAATCTGTAGATTTCCTTTTACATACAATTACACGTGTTTTCTTTTTTTTTCTTTTTATTTTTTGAAAATAGTTTTTGGAAAGTTAAAATTGAACATTCTAATTTGAATTTCCTGGATATCTTGAAAGATGAAATGGCGAAACTGCGAAACATGATAAAACTAGAAATTGCCAAAATCAAGGGTTGTAAAAACTAGTAAATGAAGGCTGATAATAAACTCGACAAGTTAAAAGACTAAATATATTATTTATAAATATGATTGCTTCTTTATATGCTAAATTAGCTGTTTTGAAGATCTTTTATTCATTATCGAGTAAGTTTTTGTATAATAAAATTTTTACATGATACAACAAATTAAGAAAATATTTACTTACGTGATTGATCATAGTATTTGAACGATTATATCTTAAATATCCAAAATCATTAAATTACATATAAAAAAGAAAGAAGTTTATCATTATTGTATAGCCCTAATTTAAGTCGAATAGCCTGGAGAACCAGTGTACTGATACTTTTTTATCAAGATAACCTTGTATATATTTATCGAAGTTTTACGTTCCAATGCTTCGTTAGGGTTTCGACGTTTAGACACTGAGTTACGTCTTTCGTCGTTTGCCACATTTTTGGAAATAGGTTTCGCCAATATCTATAGCGGGGCGTAGAATGTTGTGCTTCATAATATTTTACATAGAATTTTTTTGAGAAAGAGAATCACAAAAATCTATCTTCAAATGTATTATCGGGACACTTAAAGATCACTGAACCCAGTGATATCTTCGTGGTAATCACATCACATGGTAAATCATTTGGCCTAAGTTAGGGTTAGTGTTAGGGTAGGTGATATTATAGTTTAGGCCGATTTTGTTAGTG